ATTCATGGTCTTTGAATAGTTTCCAAGCTCTGACTCGATAACAGGTAGACCATAAAAGTGCTCCTCAAGATTGGGTGGGAGTTCTAACAATAGTTGACAAATCTCTTTTACATTCTAATGATAGGGTTACTAGTTTCTTGAACCTGATGATTGAATCAATTTAGCTTGATGAGAGGTATTTTTGTGTGTATCCTTATCAAAGCCATTTCAAGGTGGAAGTATAAGACCGTTATCTGGAATTCTTGGTTTTTTTATATTAAGTCATTCAGATAGTCTAGCATGCATTTATCTAATGACCTGGACTGCAAAAACTCAGTATGGTAGGTAGAGAGGAGATTGTTATCAAGTAGATGCTGTATTACCACAGCCTCTACTACTTTCTCCATCACTCAATATACTTGAAGCGGCTGGGATGCGATTGCCAAGTGAAAACTCCCAAAAGAATCGAAACCAAGATTAATCACGTTATAGAATAACGATATTTATTGATTAGAAGTCGCGTGATATCATAATGATATCACGTGTACAGCCACACAGTGAAATAACAAGAACGATCAATTCAGCCACTGGATTAGGAAGGTTGGCGCTTGAGTTTTTGCTTTTAGACCAGATAATCAAAAGGCGTACAATAAAACAGTTGTTGTTATACATGTTCACTAATAAGTGTTTTTATTTCAGCAATTATGTTTTATTTATAAAATAGTTCCACTGCATACTCTTGATATCAAGTTTATGCATCGGTGATTTTCAAGATTTGTTGTGGTTCCCTATTTGACCATGGGGATTTCTGTGGTCATCCAGGTATTAGGGTTATACTCTGTAGAGATTAATATAGTTTAGGAAGCATTACACACATCATTTATTCCATTTTTTGGCATGCTAGCTTGGATTTCATATGGTCCCTTGGTGTATAAATTGACGTAGAAATAGTCTGCACATTGAAGTCTACACTGGTGATTTTACAGGAAGGTTCTGAAGTCGACTGTGGTTCATTTATTAGGTTATCTTTTGATAATTGTTCGCTAAACAGCTCTATGTTATATTGAGGCACTTCGTACACTCCAATGTCCTAAATGATTATGCTCCCTCCTTTCACTTTAGATCACTCAAGTTCATATCGAAGGATTTTTTAAGCTGAGAGGAGTCATCATTCAGTTCGATAACGGGTTTTCGTGCGCGATTGTCTTTTTCGAACGTACAGATGCCTCGATCCATGCCTCGGATATCATTATCAGTGATGGTTGATGAAGGGTTACTAGCATAACTAAATCTGTTCTCTTATTTTAGATCGAACGATTGTTGAAAAGATAAATTCAATAGATGTACTACTAAGGTTAAATAATTGAGGATCTCAAGTACGATATGGGTTTGAGGCCAAGGAATGGTTGTTTTGCTTGAGCATTTTGTGAATGGCAGGGATTCTTTTGTATCCCTTCGACCTCCAGCAGACAAATATAAGTTGGAAAATAAGAATGAGCACTATTCGGCAGTAGGTCTTAAACATATTTTGTAAAGAATTATTCTGGATTTTCTATAAAGTTAGTTACGAAAAATGAAATCTAGCAGCTTTCTCGTTCGGAAAACTATGTTGGAAATATGTTCATCGAGATTCAGCTGTGTTACCAATGCACTTCTTATTCAGTTATTAATGTGAGTTTAGGAAGTAAATTCTTGCTGAGGGTGGGACTAATTTCGGCAGACATGTCTCCAGAAAACATCCAGCCACGTTTCTCAGCATTGAAATCCAAGTCCCAGAGCTAACCTGTGTTCTTCGTTATGCATTTGCTAAGCAGATGACAAAGGTTTTGAGTCTTACGTGCAGTAACGAGTGCATTACTTTCTTCTTTATTTGTTTACTCATTTCATGTTGGTTTTTCTGTTACGCCTGCACGTAAACACGTCATTTTGATATACTTGAACTATTACGAGTTTACCTAGTCGGAAAGTGAGAGCGACCATAGAGGATCCGGCAACACGACATGCTACTCTAATCCAATTATCCCAACCCCCATTTTGAGTAGAAATAAGAAGCCTTGAGTGTGAAGTAGAACATGTATTCTACAAGCATCCAGAAAGTACGAGGTCCGAATCCGGAAGAGAATCAGGATCCTGGACTAGGGATCCGGGACCGAGCGCTGGTCCTGGTCGTGGTCATAAAACGTTACAGATAATGCTTATTTATACAGTTAGGTCGAATAGGAATTAGTATAGATGTCTGTGACATGGACAGTTAAGACGACCAATAGGAAGAAACATTTGAAGTGACATGATAGTCAGAACAACCAATAAGAAACAACATTTGACATGACATTGACAGTTCGGATGACCATAAAATTGACCAGTAGAAATTAACTAATAGGAATCGACCAATAATTCTCTTAGGATTTTGGATGAATATCCAAACATTTTCACACCTTCAAGTAACACGTAGTTTTGGTACAGAATGCTGAAGTTCTTAGATATGCAATTAGCCCGTTTTAGCTTAGAAAGCTGAGCCATGGTATTAGGGGTTATATAAGGAGTCTCTGTTTTGGGAGACGATTTGGAGGGGATAGTCGTGTCTACTGCATATTTAATGATGACACTGAAAATATATAGTGCTTCAGAAAGTTACAGACTAGTAAAGAACTCATGTTAGGATATTCATCCAATATCCTAAGAGAATTATTGGTCAAATCCTATCGGTCGATTTCTATTGGTCAGAATTATGGTCGTTTTAATTGTTAAAGTCAAATACTTCGATGTTGTGTCATATTGGTCATCCGAACTGTCAATGTCATGTCAAATGTTGTTTCTTATTGGTTGTTCTGACTATCATGTCACTTCAAATGTTTCTTCCTATTGGTCGTCTTAACTGTCCATGTCACAAACATCTATACTAATTCCTATTCGACCTAACTGTATAAATAAGCATTATCTGTAACGTTTTATGACCACGACCAGGACCAGCGCTCGGTCCCGGATCCCTAGTCCAGGATCCTGATTCTCTTCCGGATTCGGACCTCGTACTTTCTGGATGCTTGTAGAATACATGTTCTACTTCACACTCAAGGCTTCTTATTTCTACTCAAAATGGGGGTTGGGATAATTGGATTAGAGTAGCATGTTGTGTTGCCGGATCCTCTATCGTCGCTCCCACTTTCCGACTAGGTAAACTCGTAATAGTTCAAGTATATCAAAATGACGTGTTTACGTGCAGGCGTAACAACTCAGCCCAGTAGAATTGCTGAATTAGAAACCGGAAGCTGTTACAATCAGCGTGCTCATAGTCTCTACGCTGATAACACATTACTGTTTTAGATTTGTTGCGCTTACCAAGAAAAGGAAGTAGGGAAGTAGGAATGAGGACTTTATAACCTGAAGGAATGATAGCTGCAAAGATTGATTGTCATCCATTAGCTTTAAACACTATTATTTTCTGTCCTGCTGCTGCTCCCTTTCTCCTTCTTTCCGATTTTCGCATCTCATCCTATGCTATAAATCGTAGCCTCGATATTGCCGGAGTTTTTTCACCCAGCAGTCTGTAGACATATTATCTGCAGAATGCTATGAAATAAATAATGAACATTTAACTCGGCAGCTTTTGTTATATTCAGATGTGGATCTAACTTTTACTGATTCTCGACTAGCAGTCGCTCGTCGCAGAGCAGATACATAACTCGCGCCAATTATCTTATTTACATTCCAGTCTGAAACACTATTAACAATTTTTACGTCAAAAATACCAGCTTTTATGTCTATGACCAGTGTATGTTTTTGATTTTTTTACTTAACTGAAAAACAGTTTATCGTAAATGCATTGGAATCTTTAACATTTTGATCTAGGAAATAGCCAAATTTTTAGGTCGAGAAAAGTTTCAAGGATATGACAAGCATTCATTTCACCATTATCTGACCTGTTTAAGCATTCATTAGAGTCAGACCAAGCTCCAGTCAAATAGAAAAAAGCACCTATTCATCCAATCTTCAAAGAAGAAAACACGACAAATCCATTCTGTTACAGACCAGACACATTCCTGCCAATATTATTGAAAGTAATTGCTGGTCCAGTGTGTGAGGAAATGATGGTGTACATCGTTAAGAACGGCATTCTCCAGGAAGCCCAACGCCTTTGTAGAAAAGGCAGATCATTTGCATCAAATGTACTCATAGATCGGGACAGCTGAATAACTTGCTGGGACCGAAAAAAACACCTCTACCAAAAAGAGAAATAAATCCCCAGGACTGAGTCAGGAGCTGAGCAACAAAATGAGTGAAAGCTTTAAAGAATAAGCTGTAGGAAGACACTCTAACATTTGAGAATAAATATTATTATTATCATCCACTTGGAACAGCTGTGCATGATGCATGTCACAAAACTTGCCCACTGTTATCATAGTCATTTATTCAGATCATTAACTTATTCTGGCTCGTTTGCTTTATCTGCTTCCTCTTCGTTACTTATTCTATCCTCCCACACAATCTTCGCTACCAGCTGAATATATTACTCATACATTTACCTCTAAAATCTCAATTCCGCCTTGTTATCCTCCGTATTACAGACAAATCATTCGCAGTATGGTAATGTGATAATGTTCGGTATTAATCAACTCTACCGGCATGAGAAAAATGCACTTATTTAAATCAGTGGACATACAAACTCATGTAGGACTGTCAAACGACTAAAATGAGAACAATCGACTAGCTAGACCACCATCCAATGAACATTACTGAATACCTAGAACCGTATGGAAAAACCGAGAAGCGAACGGAACGAAATTAACTGGTTCCTACTAGCATGTGAAAAATATATTGGTTATTAGGAATCCTAGTGGATTCAGAACATTTTTCATTTTAAATTACCAATATTTTTTTACTCATTAAACGTACTCAGGCTTCTACCTAGAAGCATGAGTTATAATATTTTACTAGAGACGGGAGCCTATAAAATGAAAGCATTTTTTACTCTGTCAACTAATATTTGAACCATTTGAATTTCCTAACGACCTTAAAAGGTCAACGCATAGTTTGCTTCTCATAACTTGAAGGCGTTGATGCCAGTGGGTCGTAAGTTTCGTTGATTGTTATACGTACATGGCTTAATATAGTTGCCTTTAATTTCTGATTATTATGTCATGCCTTATGGTGCAAATTTCTAAACATTTGTTTGGGCTTTAATGTATTTGATGACTGGGAGCTTGGAAATATTTTACTCGTGCTCTAATATTCTGATAGTTTATTAACGAAAGCGTCGTTTGTAGCCGATTTCCGTTGGAGGTTTTTAGTTAAATCGCTGATCCGTTTGGTCCTACGTGCTCTTCATATAGTTTCACGAGTCTGGTTTATTGCACAAATCCATGTGACCTGGAAGTATCCTTCCTGCAGTACCAGAAACAGCTTAGTGTTTTATTTGGGATAACCTTGAAACTAAAAAAAAGTTTCAGAATTTGTTTACTTATTGGAACAATCGCTGATGTATGTCCCAGAGAATGAATCTTTCTAACTCTTACAAAATACGAAGAATCCGTTTATGGAAAATATATAGAATATCTGGTAAAAAATGGGAGGAGAGCGTGTCATAATCTTTCTCCATGCCTTTTGTGGTGTAATTGTTGTGGGTTCGGAGTATCTGTTTATTTGCTCCTCATTATGTACTATTCGTCTTCATTCTCAAAATGTTCACCCACAATGTTATCCTCTTAGCCTAAATGTTTCTTGGGTTTCACGTGCCAGAAATAAAGCAAGTGCTTTAAGACAGTCTACTGCTTTTAAAAAAGCAAATTTGAAGTGTCGTTTAACAATCTTCTAATGGCATTGGCTAACAGGATATGAAATCTTAGTTTGCAAAAAGAATAATTACATATAGATTCTCGTCACTTGACTTCATTGTTATTGGACGTTCTGTTATTAGTAATGGACATCAGTAAGTAAAGTTATCGTCAACATGTAGCGCGTTCTTTAGTAGGAATGTATCCTGATTGTTAACTCTATTATATGGTTAGCCCTACGACATACACCTAATTTGTCTCAATGTATAACATATAAACGAACAGGTAAATTCACTGTAACAGAACACTTTAATAAGAAGTATTTTCATTATATGTTAAGTATGAGTGAATCTCTGATATGAAAATTTTGTCATTTTTCTTCTAACCAATCTAATAGCGATGCGTATTTCAAGTACTAATTGTATTATGACAATAATGTACCTTGTTGAACGGCATGCACCAAATAAACCCGAACTTATGATTCATTGCATAGCATAGAATTGAATTTTAATTAGCTACGTAGGATCTAAGAGAGAAACCGGTTTACGTATTCAACTGTCGTTTGAGTGAGCTTTATCGAAAGGTAGATACCTTATAGTTGAAAATCAAAATGATTGTAGTTAGGAATTAAAATCTTAGGTGACATGGATTGAGATCAATCTTAGCAATATCAGTGTATTCATTCTCGCTCCTCCTGAGAATCGGAGAATTTAACTCAACTGTTTGGGAACTATTTAATGATTTTAGTAGGGTATTTCAACAGCGTAAAACATTTGGGTTATTTATGATAAAGTAAAGTTCTAACTTGGTACGTGGATAAATTTTGGAAACTCGTCAGGGCCAGAGAGTTGAAACAGGGATCAAAATTTATCAATAACCATGGCTAAACAAACTCATGAGCGGCAATGTGAATTAGAGAGGGTCACTTGGTTTTGCCGTTGACAAATAATTTCGGTTGATTATTTGATAAATTAAAGTATCAGTTCTTATTTTTTACTGCATATTTATCTTTGACGACCTGTTGCTAACTTCTATTTAAATCAAAAACTTGCTGATTAAGTCAGTCAGTCAGTTACAACCTAGAACTTCGTACGTACGTACATCAGTTAATGTTGCCATGCCACATTAGCACAGAGATGTAATTTTCAATTCAAATCCAACAGTAGTAGAGGTAGTAAAGGTATTAGCAGTAGTCGGAGAGGTTAGGATTACAATATATTATTCAAAAAGTAGAATCTAGTGAAATAGATTTAAAAAGATAAAGATAAGGTAATGAAGAAGTAAAAAGTTTAGGGTTTGAGAGAACGCAAAGAATGAATGCACCTGCGCCATTGCAAACGATTTTGAGCCATGTCATTCAAGGTCTCTAACCATCGATTATTATCATCTCGCGAACATCAACCAGGTAGTCTACACCTACCGACATGGCTCAGTCCAGTTGTAAAGGCAACCTGTTATCCCAGACATCTAGATAATCAATCAGTTTTGATTTTAACTAGTACATTCGGGGTGAGAGTCTTTGAGATGTTAAATAGTTGCTGAAAAACAATGTGAATGCTATGATATAGGTAGAAATGTGTATTCGGTTATTGGTATTATCCATATCTATGTAATAAAGTTGCTCTTTTCATTGTTAAATTATATATTAGTAAGAGTTCGTAAGTGACTCTGAGAAGTAGTTGATAACAGATTTAACATTTTTTTAGTCGTTAAGTTAAAAACTGCTTATTACGGCATGTATGTATATCGACTAGAATTCATATTGGTGAAGGGAAAGAAAATACATTGAAAAGTTTTGCATACTAAAAAATGAGCATGATAACATCAGCATTAGTAAATACTGATAAACTCCTGAAATAATGATCAAACTCACTATTTGAAGAACAAAGACGAATAGTCCTATGCAACTATAAGTAAATTCAAACTTCAATGAAGTATTGCTATTACTTTGTAGACCTCATGAAAATAATATGTCATACAATAATCACATATTAGTGTAATGATTAGTTTGATATTCTAATCATTTCAAAAGCATAGCTGAAGTCACTTTCTACAATTTTAAAGTTTGTAAATAAAACTAAATTCAAAAATACTCTATTAACAGCACTTGAAACTCATTAATGTACTCTTTTAAGCGGATAGATTTCCTATCTAATTTGATTGTTTCCATTATTTTGCTTTATATCAGTTGGTTCCAGAGGAACATTTTTCGTTGATCCACTGACATATTGATTGTTAAGACCATCATGCGCAGGTATTTTTTACGCCGTTCGTTTTGGCGAAAAAATAACCTATTACTTTTGGGATTAGTATGTTTCGGACTTATGTTCATTCTATGGATAAACACAAATAATCTTGATCATAATAAGTTGACTGCAGATTCTGCCTATCTACCTGGCCAAAAACGCATAGATCAGATTTTAGCACGTCCACCAGATCAACAGCTTACAAATCATGAAAAAGTCGAAAATCAACATAAAGCTCAAAAGGACAATTCAGTTATCGAGAATCATCCAAACGCACCTCAATTTCCAAATGCCAATCCTCATCCTCCTATTGATAAAGATCCAGGTAAGTAGTCTACGTAAAATACACTACATTCAATTCCTATTGAATTAAAGAGATTCATGACAATACAGTGTAGATTATTTTTTCGAGTAATCGATTAATATAAGGCCACTATTGAAAACGTGGAAACACTGGATGACCGTTTCGTCCTAGTATAGGATAGAACACACTGCTGAAAAGACCCATTCCTGGACAAAACGGCTGTCCAGGCTTCCAATAGTCATCTGACATGGACATTGGCTAATGACTTCAATGAAAATCAACAGTCTTTACCAATCCTAAATGTGAGAATTTCAATATGAGTCTATCAGTTTTTATTTTATCAGATTATAAAAATAAAATTATTTCTTCATAAAATCTAAAATGAAATTAATGCAATGAACTACTAAGCATATTCCATGAAATTTTCTTTCTTCATATTTACACTAGAATTTCTTTTTTTTGCAAACTTTTCATTTCAATGAGAAGTGTTCAATTTGTCCTGGAAAATTGTACTCATAAAGTTTCTCAGAAATAGTTCCGTTACTACAAGATAGAAGAGATACCTCTTTTATTATAGAATAAAAAAAAATACACTGTATAAATTGTAATCTAGACTGCTAATTCACAAGTAATAGAAGAAACAACATATAGTTTTAATCTGTGATAAAGTTTATTGAAACAGAGAAATACATCTCTCTCTCTTATATTTAGGGGCACTAAATAATTCTAACTGAATTGTTTTACTTGACAAACAAAAAAAAACATGGTTCAATGGTTTAATGAGCGCGCGCACGCACACACACATACACAAGCAAAATGTTTTATTTGTTTTTCACGGTCACTATAAGATATAATCTCAATGTTGAATTACTGATAAATAGTGAATTAATTACACATAGTGCACACAAATGTTTATAAAAAGATGAAGAGGAAGTGTTTAAGATGGAAAAAAAGAGTGGATTTTTTAGAAACAGGGTTGTTCATAAATTTTATTTATTGAAGTATAAGATCAGTTCACGATATTGGGTACTTACTAGCTGTAACATCCATTTTTTTTGTAGGGTTTGTTTGTGAAAATCCTTCCATGTATACATTTGTAATTTGTCCTTACTGATTCCTTCAATTGTATATTTTGTTAAACTGTTCAATTTCATTTGAGATGATAATATTTGTATTTTATTATAGTTTCTATTTCTTTTGCCTTCACTGAGTTTCCATGTTTCCTTCTGAACTGCATTTATGTTGTTTAAGCTGATACTTATCCATATTGATTTGTTCCTCCCTTGATTGTGTTGCTTGCTTTGACTGGAATTGTGCATTTCCATTGTGAATTGAAGCACTCTTCCAGAATAGGAAACACTGTGTTATAAAGCAACCAAATGTTATCCTTTGAACGAATCTGATCTATTCATAAGGGATAGAATAGCATTTATTTGTTTCTGTTGATTTGATTAATTGAACTATTGTTGGTGGAATAACTGAGCGGTAATATTTGTTTAGGTGTACTGATGTATATTTATATTTATGATGAATATTAGAAACCGTTATTTACCCAAATCACTTGTTTTGAATTCAACAGGACAGTTATTCCTCAATCCAAACCTAAGTTTGGATCCTACACTAGCTATAGGACATAAGATATCATGAAGTCACTGACAAGTGGACTGAGTCATGTTGATAGATGTAGACTACCTGGTTGGGGTCCGCGAGACGAAAGTCACCAATGGTTAGAGACCTTGAACTAAATGGCTCAAAATCGTTTGCAATGGCGCAAGTGCATCCATTCGTTGAGCTCTCTCAAATCCTAATCTTCTGGATTCGTCAGCACCTCTACCTTTGTCTTTCTAACCTTATCTTACTGTATTATACTTCTTGAATAATATCTTCGAACCCTACTCTTCTTCATTATCATTAATACCTCTACCCTCTTTATCACTATGGGATTTGTTTGACATTAGCGTCTCTGTGCTCATGTGGTACGGCAACATGAACCTATGTACACACGTACGAAGTTCTACGTTGCAACTAACTAACTAAACTAAAGATATCACTTGATGATTTGAAACTATGTATGGCACATGAAATTGTCGAATCTTTTATAATAATATTTAGCATTCAGCAAGCAGTGTTAAATTATTTTGATTCATTCAAAACTTCAATATTTTTGAGTGATATTAAAAAAATCATTCTTTACATTGTATTCGTTTTGAATAGATATCGATTAAACATTTCATTAATGTTCATTGAATCTGTACTATATCATAAGCAATAGTTTTTTTTTTCTAATTTTTAAACATTTTACATTCAACATTCTTTAGATTGGTCAATAGAAATGATTTATATAATTTTGATAAAAATAGTGAAAACTAAACATAATCATTTAGGTGACAATAGAGACAACTGTTTAGTCTTATCAAGGAAATCAGCAGTATTCGGAATTCAACTATTTGACGAGACTATCTCGGAAAATGATGGAATTATTATTGATTCTCAATCCGGGCGATTATATATCGATGAGCAGAACACTACGGACGAATCAATTCAATTGGTCTTCAGCCATACTTCGGTTGCTCACGATCTCCAGTCAACCCTAAAATGGCGAATTGGTATAAGTCCTCAGAATCTTTATGAAGTTGAAAAAGCCATAAAAAATCTGAAGCGAGAGAGAGAAGCGGGCTCTGACAGGCTAACTTCTGAGATTTCTATAGAAGATGGTGGTCAAGTTCTAGCAGTTAGATTGACTGAAATTTTCATGACCTTTTTTCTCAATTAAATTTATTTCACTGTGATATACTTATCGAATTATATCTTTAAATCTCAATCTTTCCAATTACTGCTAATACTACTACAAATTGCTACCTCTACTACTATGGAGTTTGAACTGACAATTCCATCTCTTTGTACTTATTTGATATGGCAACTTGAACTGATCAACGTACATACAAAGTTCTACATTGTAATTAACTTGCAATCAGTTGGCTGTTTTTGTACGTTATATATAACTGGCAGTAATCAGATCAACACAATTAATCTTTACATTCACCTAACTGATTTGTTACTCTCTATCACATAGAAGAATAGTTAGAGCTGTGAAGACAATAAAAAAAACAATATATAAATATTTTTTTATGATTATTTAAAAATAAATTCCAACTGATCTAACTCGACTAAATTTTTTTAGGTTGTATAATAATAATAATAATAATAATAATAATAACCAATAATGATCTTATTGTTGTATAAGTTTTATTGTCTATCACAAAAAAACTAGCCTTATTGAATAGAAGTGCATGTTATTGTCATTCAGTTAGTTACAAGGTTGAACTTCATATGTACATACATCAGTTCAGTTTGCCATACCACATTAGCACACAGAGATGCAACTGTCAGTTCCAATCCCATAGTGGGGTAGAGATAGTAGAAGTATTAGTGATAATGGAGAAGAATAAGGTTCGAAGTATAATTCAGTGAGATAAATTTGGAAAGAGAAAGATAGATGTGATGAAGAATTTAAAAGATTACAATTTGAGAGAGCCATTGAAAAAGCTTTTGAGCCATGTCATTCAAGGTCGCTAACCATCGGTGACTTTCGTCTCGCGGACTCCTTAACCAGGTAGCCTACATCTACCAACATGACTCAGTTCACTTGTCAGTGACTTCATGGATTTCTTCCATGTTTTGGTTTGACCGCCCCAAACATATTATTGTAGAATAAAATAATCATTCAAGAAAAAAATCTTTTCTTTTCAATCTAATATTATTCTTTTATTGTTTGAATAGGTCATGAAGAAGATGTCAAACATCAAGCTGTCGATGATAATATCAACGCAAATCATTTACCTGATATTGAACCGGCTGTTCATGAGCCTGAAGAAAATAATGTTCTTGTACGACCTGAAGATAAAGACAATTCTATAATACACGACAACAATGAATTGAATAAAAACAATCATTCAAACATATCATCAGCTATTGCTAAGTTAGGTTTATTTCCTAGTTCTCCTCCTACAAAAAGCGATGAATATTCAAAAGGTCCTGGTAAGTAATGTATTTATCAAGTCGATGCATAATGGTAGTTATAAAACTTCATCTCATCATTCACCTGGATTCTTCAAACAAAATTGTTTTAAAAAAAAATTATAAGGTCTGTTTTTTTAGCATTCATTACCAACTAGACATTTTCACAGTTGTTTTAAGCTGCTGAGTCAGTCTACAAAATAAAAGTGCAAAGGAGACAGGAATTTTGGATATGTTTACAAAGACTTGTTTTCTGTTGTTGTTGTTGTTGGTGGTTATATTCGTGGTCAACCAACATGCGTGCAGCACACACACGTTGCTGCTTTTTACACAACACAAGGATTCATGCAACTGCCGAAACATGATCAACTTTGCCCTAAAGCGAACATAAATGTTGTCTAGTTTCTCATGCAGGTCAATCGGACATCTAGTCAGTGTACACATAAACAGTCATCCCTTTACGGCTGCTTATGAATCAGCTCGATCTCTCCAACCATGCCATTACCCAAAATCACCAGTCGGAAAGGGCAGAAAAGCGGGTGGTCCCATCTAGATCTGGCACCCTGTATAGGTTACTGAGCCGACCAGCAGTGTACTAACCGGCAGGCATTCCAACCAACAGGTCTCCAACTCCCTCACTCACAGGACAATCGACCGGAGTCCCTATAACCCCGAATAAAGCCAAGGATCGATTATCTTGCAAGGTCAAACCTTTTATACTGACCGAAAACGTCCATCTATCATATTTCTTCTACTCTTTCAATCGATAACATACACTCGGATCCGACACTCTTGTTTCCAAAAATAACTTCTGGACTACACTTTGACCACATATTACATAGAATCCATGTTACAAGTAGTAGTAGTAGGAGCAGTAGCATACACCACACCTTGTAAGCGATCAATTTTATTACTTTTCCCGAAACATTCAAATCTCTAATTGATTTCCGTCATATTTGGAAAGAAACTTTCATTGATTGGATGATTACTTCACTGAATAACATTTGTTGTTGTGAATAACGTATTTATTTTTGAATCATTGATATGAATATATATTACAATATAAAATATTGTCCACCATTTTATGTCACTGCTTAATTACTATTATTAGTGAATAATTTCACTTGATATTTTCATATTTCATTATTTTTATTTTATTTCTAATTTAATAAACATGTAAAAGGTTTGTATGGGAATAAGGTTTTTGTAACTATACTTTTATTTTTCTAAATTAAAAATACATATTCACTAAAATCCTCTACTTTTAATGTTTTATCATCATATTTAGTATGGGGAGTCTGTTGAGATTTTTCAGAAGATGGATTGGGAACTCAGTCAGTTAGCTATAACATAGAATGATGTATATATGTACATCAGTTCACCGCCTCTAGCTTTCTTTCAGCTTTACCCCTACACCGTAAAGCATAGCTCGACAAGGCAGTCGGTGGTTAGGCATTCGTAGCACCTGTCCCAACCTCCTCAACTGATAGAGACTCATTACTTCATCTATTGATCTGCCACCTTTACGTAGTATAATTTTCCTAACACCAGCATTGCTTACTCGGTGGTCCCAGGATGTATGGGCAATGTTACGAAGACACCTATGATCAGATACTAGTAACCTACGACTACCTTCTACTCTTAGTGGCTATGTTTCACACCCGTGTAGTAGGATGGTGCGAACTGCTGCACAGTGAACTCGTCCTTTGGTTGGTAGACGGATATCTCACATATGCGATAAGTGACACAAGTTGGCAAAGTTTGTCGAGCCTTTTGTATCCGTGCTGAGATTTTGTCAGTAACCAGGTCATCAGTACTGATGAGACTCTCAAGGTGGTTGAGACGGTTGAACATTGCGGACTGATTTTAGTTAAGTAACTATTCGAAACCCTAAGGTACTGTGTAGTTAATTTGTCTACAACTGAACGAATTCACTTCACCATCAGGGATCGAGACAAGGACTTTAGGTTTCAAAATGAACGCTTTAAATGGTTGTCGATTTAAAGTTTCTTGGAATATATTATTCATCGTAGACAATATACAATTTGTTGTCAAAGAAGTTGATTTTAACTTACATTATCTTAGGGTACCATACTCACGGTCACACTCATATTTACAGAATTTTACTCTGTTTAGGCTCTTGCGTATCCTATAATATAAAGATTCCTAGGCTAGAACAAGACAATTGTCATTTGCTCACTGTTTCTCAGTCATTTTTTGCTAATATTGTTTCAATGTGAAAACTCTAAAAAATCTAATCTACCTTGTTTTTCTACGTTTTAATATCTCTAACTAAACAATAATTAATTCAATTATTCATCTTTTTTCTTTATCGTTGATCATTTTGGATAATACGAAATTTTAACCTGTTCAATGACCAATAATCATAACATCTTGGATATAAAAGGTGAAGGAGGTGAGGCATATACAATAAACGAAGACAGTTTATCACCATCTGAAAAGCAGATTTATGACAAAGGATGGAAAGACAATGCCTTTAATCAGTATGCTAGTGATCGAATAAGTGTAAGACGCTATTTACCAGACTATAGAAAAGGAACGTAAGTCATCGTTGAAATTATGCTCGTTGTTTTTCTTTCTATGTACACAAATTCTGGTAATTTAACCATTTTTGTAGTTTTTTTTCGAATTTTGACAATTTAAGTTGGTTAACTAAGTTAAAATCAAATCCAAAATATTGGAAATAGCAAAGTTTCTAAGAGAGAGTGGACCAACATTTGAAGAGTGTTGGCTATCTTTGTTGTACTACCAACATGTGACTATAAGCTACTCAGTTATATCTTCAACTTCTACTCTAGTTAAGATGCTTCAAACTATCAGACGTCATCACTATCTGATGAATATGATTGCATCGTATCTATTTATCATATGTGATGAAAAAAATAACATTAGGATTAAAACGTTGCTGTTTGTTTGGAAAAAGAAATCATTGGATGTAAGTAATTATCATAAAAAACCATGAGAAAAAAATTCAACGAAGTTGCAGGCTAATCATTAAATCACACTTGATGAGAATCACATTTTATAATGTCTTAAGTTCAAAAGGTAGACCATTCGATTGCGTCACTATAGGATTGTGGAGACTGTTCAGTTGCATTGAAATCGTGAACTGACAATTTTTGACCATCATTGAAAACGTGGAAGCACTGGACGGTTGTTTCGTCCTAGTATGGAAATCATCAGCAGTGCAAATCCGCAACCTCACAAGAGGGAATCGAACTCAGATCCTTCTGTCTCGTGCGTAAATGTTAGACTTCTTGACCACTGACCGGGCATCTAACGATGTAAATATCTAGCTTCAGTCAATTCACTACCATCATATTTGATCTTCGTTGGATAACAGTCTCATCCGCGACAGGGTTGGTATTCACTGGTCACGTTTTCTGACCAGAACTCCGAGAATTCGCCCACGAAGCTAGTAGCCAGTGAGCACATGATAATTGTCACCATAGGCTTGTAAAGATTGTTGAGTTTCATTAAGATCATGGATCGATGAATGTTAGACTAGCTTTAGAAACCTGAAATCACAGGATGATGGTCGCGGAATATTGTTGGCTGGTTCATGTTGGACATTATCACCGTTGAAAACCGACCCAATGGTCTAGAAGTTAAGAGTTTGCGTGTTAGGTCAGAGCTTCTGGATTGGATTACCGCTTGCGGAGTTATGGATACTCAATACTGTTGAGTTCCATATTAGGATGAACCGGTCATTCAGTGCTCGCAGGTTTCCAATGATGGTTTAACTCTAATTATCCCATTACGATTCTTTAGTTTAAAATTATTATATCCATCACATAGCTGGATGTACTCATTTCAATACTATGTGTAAAGATTATCATTTTCTATTTCTTGATACTGCTTAACTAATCGGCTATTTTGTGTGGTAATGTTTTTTGCAGTTAAGTATGCTTTATGATGAAAGTAAAAATATTTTTTAAAGAACCAATCTGATCGTCTTATTAAATAAGATATTATTAGGAGGAGTGGATAGTGGCTAGGATTGGAATCTGGGACGAATGTTTTGTCTTATTTACGATTCGTCAGCTGGATGTGCTGACAGTTCAGAGTTGATATCCACTCCGGAATTTGAATCTAGTACCGTTCGCTTCAAACGCCAATGAGTTATCCACTTAGAGACTGATCTACTACAAACCTAATTAACAATTGGAATATTTCAACAACCAATACAAATAAATTAATCTTCAACCCTTTGAACAAATAAGTGGCTATCTGAACTTTCAGTAGCTAAATGAATAACACAATGTCACTTGAAGCGAACTGTACTGGTTTCTGGTCTTGGAGTAAACATCATCTCTGAGATGTGGGCTGATGAGACCAAAACAAAACGAAACGCGCGTCCTGAATTCCACTGTAAACCATTATCCACTTCTGCTTGTAGCGCTTATGACTCAGTGACAATATCGAGGCAATATCCGCACGCAATGCACACTCGCCAAAGAGACTGATCAATTGTAATCCTAAACATCGATGAAAAGATTCAAACGACTAATACAAATGAATTAAAACTTTAAGAAAGATTTACAATATGAGGTCTACTTCACTCAACTTATTATATATCTTATGCATAGTTAACTTAGCGATGCTAAAATACCCATCTACTCACAAACTATGAAACCAGTGATTTATCGATCTGCAATTAAATTCTAACTATATAATTTTTACTCTTTTGAAGTTCAGTTTACTATTGACCAGTAATTCGATTTAAAAAAAAAATTACTGCCTCCATTAATATTTATACAATCAACTATAGAGTAATATTAAAATGATATTCATATTCATAAGCTACCGATTTCAATATTCCAAAATACCATCAACTTATACATTTTCTACTTTTTTTTAACTAACTGACTGACTATTTGAAATGAAGCGGTAATATATCTAATTCGATTAATTTACGTCTTTTTTTTCTAGTTGTTGTTGTTGCTGGTACAAATTGTCTAACCCTTGAATCAATGCATAGTTTCGAATTTTTTTTATACCCGTATATAAATAATAAATAAGTGTTTAGTGGATAAGTTATATACCTATATATATATATATATATATATAAGAGATGAAGACAAACATTCATTCATCTATCTTGAAATATCAATGATTATTATTATTATTGGCATTATTAACTGACAGAATAATACACTCACTACGTATGATGTTAATATTGATAAATTTCAGTATGAAAATACACTATGAATTATTGGATTAGTGAATAATAAATATTTAACTTATTAAATATTACACATTTTTGAAACCATGAATCGATCAGTGTTAGACCACCATTAGAAACCTGGAAGCACTGGACGGCCGTTTCGTCCTGGTATGGGACTCCTCAGCAGTGCGCATCCACGACTCCTGCATCCCGCAGGATTCGAACCCAGGATCTTCGGTATTGGGCGCGAACGCCCTAACCGTTAGACCACTGAGCCGGTATCTAGCAACAATAAAGTGTATCATTCATTTATGTGATCAACTAGCTACTAACTACACATGATCTATATATGCATCAACTTATAATGTTCTTATCAAATTCTCTTATGGCCTTCATTAATCTACTTCACTGTGTTTTTATGGTGTCTGTTGTTTTTGTGAACATGACACATTTTGTTTTTAGTTTTTATTCTGTTTATTGTCGTAATGAACAACGTTTTTTGTATTTTGTTATTTAAAACAAAATTTACTATTGTAGGTGTAAAGTTGACAAATATGCAAGTGATCTACCATCAGCATCTGTGATAATATGTTTTCATAATGAAGCATGGTCAGCATTATTACGTTCAGTGCATTCAGTGATTGATCGATCACCGCCAAATATGCTACATGAAATTATATTGGTTGATGATTATTCTGATCATCGTAAGTTGTATATATAATTCTCATTTTAATGTTGAGTTGATGATTAAAGTAGTTGAATAAGATATTTATATGAAAGTTTGTAGTGTAATTTTTTCATATTAATATTTTTACGTGATGAGATTTCTTTTTTCTGGTATTAATATTAACTATTTAAAGTTCTTTAATGACTGATACAATGGTATGACATACGTGCCAAGTTTTATGTTCTAGCTAACTGACTGATTAATAGAAACATGTTCAAGGTAATTATTCATTTAATAAAACTATTGCTTCAAAGTGCTCTAGTATGGTCGAGAGTGATTAGAGTTCGCTCCCTCTCTCTCTCTCTCTCGGAATGTGAACATCTAGTCATGCATGTACAGCATGTACTCACTGTCTTTACGTGACAGGGTTGGTATTTACAAAATCGAGTGGATGAAAAGCGAATGTTCAGCACTTAAAAGGATCCTTCTTACCTACCTAATTCTAAACGAGTAGTGCACACGGGCTCACTACTGACTAGCTTCGTGAGGGGATTCTAGAAATTCTAGTTAGAAAACGTAACTAGTGGAGTTCAACCCTGTTAGGTGTATGCAGTAGTTAGAGAAGACAAAGGGTGACATTGCGCAAAATACTTAGATTGATCAGAGATGGGCATTGACATCGTTGGATTCCGGCTCAGTGTTCTAGAGGTTAAGCGTTCATGTGCGAGGTCGAAGGTCCTGGGTTCAATCCCCGCGAGCCTGGGTGGTGCATGAACAATTCTTATGAGTCCCGTTCTAGGACGAAACGGCCGTTTAGTGCTCCTAGGTTTCTAAATGTGGTCTAACAATGATTAATTCATGAATCCTTGGTTTTATTGATGCGTAGGGTGTTTTGGAAATGGTGGATGCTTCGTTATCTTTAAATCACCAACTTATCTTAGCTAGACTGCCACTGGAAACCTTCAAACAACAGGTGGCCGCCTCGTCCCAATATGGTGGATGCTACTCACAAGATGACATATAAATACTGTGCAGCATAGCATTTCCTAGAAATTGCTACCATTGAGCTTTGTCTGAGGACCGAAATGTATAGTGTAATTAGACTGTATTGAAGACCAGAAGACATGTAAGAGAAGATAGTCAGATGACTAAGTGTACACGTATGTAAATCTGATTTCTCTAAATATATATATATATATATATATATATATATATATATTCCATTTAGTCGTGAGGTTTTCGTACATTTCACCACTATATGACTTCTTATTAGTGAACATACTCGAGCCTACATCCGTTAGTTAAACTCAGTACTTCCAGTCTGACACACGTTTGCCTTACCTTTAGACTACTGAGCTGGCATCGACCGATTTTTTAATGTTTAACCTCATATACAATCAACTATGTTGGTCAACAATTTTTCATTACCTGCCTTGAATAACTTTCTAATAATTAATATAATCGAACTTCACTAATCATGGCACCATAATCAAACTCTAATATTTTTCAAACTTAAAACTAATTTCTAGTAAGTGTGTATGATTATTATTGGAAATAGTTGGTGGGGATTTGTAAAAATATTAGGAATGTCTTGTTTTAAGTATAAAATTAGGGAGATCGATTAGTTATACAATAAATTCTGTTATATAATTTACAATTCTCCTGATTAATCCATATTTTTAAACTGCACCATGTCAAAAAAACTTAACCTAATAATTACGAAATAGGTTTATTTTTTTCAATAAATATATATATATTATTCTTGGTATCATAGACAATAAATTTTTTTCCAATGTACCAGTTTTTGTACACAAAATTATAACTTTCAAAACATAATTTGGCAATAGGATGAATACAATACTTTTTTTTTATTAACGGGCACATATTTACTTTATTGATATTTAATAGAAGATCATCAATAAATTACATTTCGGTAAACTTGTGTTTTTTTTTTCTATGCCAAATATGTTTTATTTTATGAAATAAATACACAGTAGAAATGGTGGAGAAAACTTGTAGCTTAGGTGGATGATTGTGGTGGTGTTTTGTTCTCTGAGCTGATAGTCCATAGCAAGTACTTTCTGGCCCACTGTGAACGATCGTCTTTTTGCCCCATGGTGTCGATTGAACTGCTTCTCCATCGACAGGTTTCGCTGAGGCTCAAGAGCTGGTGTAGGACGGATGACATCAAAATGTGTTCGTAATTTTCTACCAAGTAGAGCTTCCGCAGGTGAGACTCCGTCAATCGTCTGAGGGTTCGGTGTAGAGCGATAAATAAGCAGGAACCTCTCTAAGATCTCTTCGGTGGTCCCCTCCCCTTTGGATTTTTTTAGAGCATTTTTAAATGTGCTCACAAAGCGTTCTACTTGACCATTTGATTGCGGATGGAATGGAGGTGTTCGGACGTGATAGATTCCATTCTGCCGGCAAAATTGCGAGAAGACTGCGGACGTAAACTGTGTCCCGTTGTCAGTAACTATCAATTCCGGGACTCCGAAACGACTGAATAGTTTACGTAATTTACTGACTGTGCAGCTTGCAGTTGGGTGTTTCATGAAGAAAATTTCTGGCCACTTACTGTATGCATCAACTACCAGAAGGTAAGTTTGTCCATGAAGTGGGCCAGCAAAGTCCAAATGTATACGCTGCCACGGTGACTGTGGTATTGGCCATGATTGCAACTCTGCTTTGCGCGGTGCTTTTGTTGCTAATGCACATTTGGTACACGAACGGGATAGCTGCTCTAGCTGGGTGTCTAAGTGCGGCCAGTATACATAACTTCGTGCTAGAGCTTTCATGCGATTTATTCCAGGATGTCCGACGTGCAACTGTTTTAGCACTGCTGGTTGTAGCTTCGCTGGAATTATGACTCGTTCGGCAAACAGCAGGCAGTCGTCGATGATTGAAAGAGAGACTCTACGCTGGTAAAACTGTTGAAGCTCTGAAGAGTTGATCTTCGAAGGCCAACCTTCCAGGTGAAACTTTCTAACTTCTTGTAGAAGTGGGTCTCGAAGAGTTTCTTCTCTGACTTACTCTGACGACACTGGAGTGTTTCGAATGGCATCTGCTACTACACTCCTTATTTCTGGGTCTACTGCTGTTGAGGCAATGATTATGTCCTCTGGTTCAGGATGCTGAACTCCAATTAATCGAGAGAGAGCGTCCGCTTGACCGATAGTATTTGTCGACTGATACTTGATATTGAAATCATAACTCAAGAGCATCGTTGCCCAGTGCTGTAATCTATTAGCCGTATAGACAGGGATTCCTTTCTTAGAACCAAAGATTGCAATCAAAGGTTTGTGATCTGTCAGTAGCGTAAACTTACGACCATAGAGCATTTTATGAAATCTTTTGACAGCGAAAATAATTGCAAGAGCTTCTTTCTCAATTTGACTGTAATTTCGCTCGGCTGAGGTGAGTGATCTGGCAGCATGGGCAATTGTTTTCTCTGATTTATCCGGAAACACATGAGATATTACTGCTCCAACACAGTAGAAAATAAATTATATCTGTAAATCAGTCAATTTTTTATTTAAAATATGTAGAACTTGGTGTGAGTGTATAATCAGTTCAAGTTATGCTATACGTCATAAGCTTGAACAGATATAATTGTCAAATGAAATCTCGTTGTAGTGGAGGTAAAAACAGTAAGGATTAAAGATAATATTCACGAAAATAGTCCAATAAAGGAAAACACGTGTTGAATTTAGCGGAAGACAAGCAATTGATACACCTGTACCATTACAAAACTATTTTGAGCTATGTCATTCATAGTTCCCCAAACACTGGTTACGATTATCACCAAGTAGTCTACACCTTCAGTTTTCAATTATTGCATAAACTGATATCATGTTTTGGTTTGGCAGTTCCGTGAATTTTTTTCAACCTACTCCTACACTAGACAACTTCGCCCATTTATTAGAATCAAGCATACAGCTATGTAGTAAATTCATCCTTTGGTTGACAAACAGATATATCTTTACCTACACCGTAATGGACACAAGCTTTTCAACGACCATTCAAGCCTTCTTCATTCGTGTCGAGATTGATAAAAAAAATGTGGTATTTGCATGACGATTCATATCAAAAGTATTATATGTTCTACGTATTGTTGTTATACACCTCATAAGATCAATTTCATCCATTCTCTGTGTGTGTGTGTGTGTATGCGTGTTTATGCGTGCGTAATGTTGTAGCCTTTTTTTCTTCTATTTTGAAGAGTGTTTTAGTAAGTACATCAATATCGTACGATATTACAATAAAAATAATTCTGTTTACAAAATTGATTTGTGTCGTTTAGTCTAAAAAAAATATATATATCTGATTACATTTTCATAAAGCCGAATAATTTTGTTTCTTTTTGCCGTTTTTAATACTAAGAAGAAAAGAACGCACAAAAAGAATGAGGAAAGTTGATAGTTAGGAGAGAGAAAAATAGTCCTGTCTATAATAATTGTTGATTGTAATACATTCAATAGTTATTATGGTTTTGATCATAATTAAAAAGCCTTTTGATTCGTTAGACATGTTGATTGCGGCAATTATTAATGAGATTCATAAGGCATGTTTCGTTTAACCTTCCTTCCCCTTGAATGTTCATTTTTACAATGGTTTTGATGGCTGTGTAATGTTCGTCTTTGGACGACTCACTACTTTATTGGCCCTACGATCTGACTCTGATATTTATAAGCAATTAAAAATATACTATGAAATAAATCTCTCCTTTGGTTTCCGTTGATTATACTTTGTCAAACCATGTTTGTGCGACGGCGGTAATTAGAAGCCGAATATGGATTCAGTTGGATGAGTTTCATTCAAGCAATCGTTCATGCGTTCATTTAGGCAGACAGACATGAAAATGGAAAACATGTTAGCAGAGCGAAGCGGAGTGAAGAAGGCCGGTTGGCTAACTCAATGTAATGAGGCATTAGTAAGCATTTATCTTAGAACAAAATTCAGACATGCGATAAACGAAGTAGGCGGCACATAAACACACTCGAATAAAAACGACCAAGATATGAGCAAATAATAGAC